ATTCAGGAGGATAGCAAGTTTGAGGTCAGCCTGGATTAAACAGCAAGTTTAAGGCAAGTCTGAGACACACAGGAAGACACTGTGTCCAAACTGTCTGAACCAAAGAAAAAATCTAAAGGAACCAGAGAGCTGGATAGGCAAGGACAGGAGCTAGCCCTGGAAATCTGGTGACTGGAGTCTGAGTCCTGGAACCCACGTGAAGGCAGCGGGACAGCGCCAAGGGGAGAACCAGTTTCACAAAGCCACCCTCTAGCATCCGCACCTGTGCACACACGGAACGATAATAAGAAAGGAAGGGAAAGGAAAAACAGACGGGATGAGGTTGTTGGCAAAGCGGCCAGACTCTCAGACTCTGTGCGCCTGAGTCTGAGGAACATATCCTAGTTCGTGAAACTGCTGTAGGCTTGCTCTGCGTAGACTGAGCAGCGCAGAACTCGGGCTGCCTTTAAGCTGGGTAGAAATTTGTTTTCCTCTGAAGCGTAAAACAAATTAGAAGGTGGTGTCCAGAGCAGGTGTGCCAGCTCCATAGTCATTAAGGACCACATAACTTTCTCCCGCATTTCTGTTTCCTCCATCCAGGGCTTGCTTGTTTTAGGATTAGGATTTCATTTTCTCCTCACTACTGTGTATTTGTGTTGGGTCAGCTCTTCCATATTTCAGAATATGCTCTTCCAATTTACCACAATCCAATCTAAACAGTATAATTCCGATTTCTCCTTCAACCAGTTGAGTTAACTTGTTGAAAACCATTTTACTTCTGCATATGCTATGGTCTTATCATACAGTGCTGTTTTGCTTTAAGTTATCTTTAAACTGTTTTTAATGAGGGGACTCTTGTATTTAGTCATATAGTTAGTTTTTGGCACTCAGGTCGCTAGTCTTGGGAGCAAGCACATTTACTCCACTGAACCATCTTACAAGTCCTGTGGTGGTTTTCATATGTGGGTGCATTTACCCTGGTTAGGGTTTATAATTTCTACCACATATTAAAATATTTTCAGACATGTTACTTCAAATGACTTTCTTGTCATCTGCTGCTGGCCCTTCTCTTACCAGAGCCTGCAATCTCACAAATACTGGGATATTTGATATTATCTCACAAGCCGCACTGCATGTGAGGGACTTTCTCTTTAGTGTTTGGGGACTTTTTCAAGCAACCATTTTTATTTTCTTTTAACTAATTTAATTTGCTCAATGGCTAATTGTCCTCCAATTCTCATTCTATCCACTTGTATTTGAGAACCTGTAAATTTAGTCTTTGGTTCCTTTTTTTTTTAACCTCTAATTTCTCTCTCAGTATATGGAAGAAGCTTATCATAGGCGCTTTACCATTGACTAATCCTCTCATGTGAGTTCTTGTGTTCTCTTATAGACTGACTTCATGCCTGGTAATAGATTCGGGTCTCCCGCCCTCCCACCCCCCGTATCCCAGTTTTCTTGTTATTTCCCGGGAATCTTCTCCACATCGCTGTGTGCTGCTTCTTCAGCACCAGTGTTCTCCCGGGCTCCACACACCACACCACAATAATTTATTATCCGTCCCCATAAATTATGATGGCCATCCCGCTTGTGTCTTCGTTGCCCTCACCCCTTTCCAGAGCCCGAGTGACTCCTCACTGCACCCACCTCTCCATCTAGATGTTCCAGCGGCGTCTCAAACACAATGTATCCAAAGGATACTACACCAAACCCACCTCAAAAGCAATTGACTCTCCTTATTCCCTCACTTAGGGAATGGCATCCCTAGCTTGTAAACCTGGAAGTATGGGAGCCATCCTTGGCTTCTCTCTTGTAGTAGATATCGTGATGTCCTTCTCAGCCTCTATTTGCTTATTTGGGCAACCACCACAATATTTTGGGACAACTACACCTGTTCACCACAACTTTGGGAAACTGACTACCTTTTGCTCTAGTAATCATGTGTCTTCATCGTGAGATAACCTTGTGCAATTTCCAGGCCACCATTTTTAATTTATGTAAAGGCATGGGATCAATTGCTTGAGGTTCTAAAGAAAGTTTGCAGTCCCTTCTAAATAGAGCTTCCAAAAGAGACTTTCTCCTTATATCTTTCTAGACACAGATGATAAAACAGGGGTTGTTGGCAATTGTCACTTGACCAGAAAAGTAATACTAAAGAAAGAAAAACCATGAAAATGAGAAAGAAACAGGTCTTTAATGACTCACTGGGTTTCAGAATCAATCACTCCTGTAGCCATCCCTTGCCTGGATTTGTTTTATGTAAGTGGGTCGAAATTTCTCCTTTATTTCCTAAATCAGTTGGAGTTTGATTTCTGCTGCTTGCAACCAAAGCACCCCTACCCATAACCTCCTGTCACCATTTACCCCACAACATAGGTAATTTAGCACCAGACAATTCTATTATCTAAGTAGGGTCTAATTATACTCAGTTTTGTCTCAGTGGTACTGCCTGTGCCTCAGTTCAGTCTCTAGCTACCCCTCAATAATACTGCAATAGACTTGTGTGGCAGTTTGAATAACAAAGGCCCCCACAGACTCATAGATTTGAATGCTTGGTCATCAGGAAGCAGCACTATTGAGAGGTGTGGCTTTCCTGGAGGAAGTGTGTCATGGGGGGGGTGGGCTTTGAGGTTTCAGATGTTCAAGCTAAGCCCAGTATCCCCCCCCTCTGCAGATCCAGATTCAGATGTGGAACTTTTTGCCTCCTCTCCATCCAGTACCACGTCTGCCTAGGCACTGCCATGACAATAATGAACTAAACCTCTGAAACTGTAAGTCAGCCACAGTTAAATGTTTTCCTTCATAAGAGTGGCTGTGGTCGCTGGCGGCGCACGCCTTTAATCCCAGCACTCGGGAGGCAGGGGCAGGCGGATCTCTGTGAGTTTGAGGCTGGGCTGGACCGACAGCCTCCAAAACAATACAGAGAAACCCTGCCTTGTAAAACCCAAAAAAAAAAAAAAAAAAAAAAAAAAAAAAAAAAGAGGCTGTGGTCATGGTGTCTCTTCACAACAATAGTAACCCTAACTAAGACAACTTCATACATACTATATCTCACAGACTGATTTTTCTAAAGCATATATCTTTTAGAAATTTCATGTTTATAATCTGTTTCCATAAGAAAAAAATATAGCATTCTTTAACATATTACCCGAGACCTCCAAGGACTTAGTTGTCTCCTTCAGTTTTTTGAAGTTTCCTCTTGTCTCTCTCTCCTCAATGCCAGCCAAAATGTTCACCAGCCTTCGTATCTTAGCATTTTATGTTCTCCCTTACTTCTCTCTTTCCTCTTTGCCACTAAAATACACAAACCTGTGAGTCATACCCACATTCAAACGATCTGTGAAAGCATTCCCTGACCCTGCCCAAGTCTGAGGTAGTATGCATTTTCCTAGGACAGCATAGCTCACACCGAGTCCATTATCTCTCTTCCTTGGCAGGGTCAGTATGCTTCTTTTATATTTTTATAGCTCTATTTTTGAGGCTCAATGAAGTGCCTGGCACATAGTAAATATATTCACTTGTTTTTTCTTAATATTTTAGTTAAATATATGCATTATATATTTTTAAATATTTTGAATATATGTCTATGTGCTGATGAGGCCAGGAGATGGCCTTGTAAAGTACAGATGACTGTCAGTCACCACGTGGGTGCTGGGAACGGAACCCAGCTCCTCTGGAAGAGTAGCTTGAGTGCTGTTAACAGCTGAGCCACTCTCCAGGCCCTCTGCACTTGTGTCTCCGATGAGCAAAGATTATGCGGTCTGTGGACACCAGGGCTCTCTGATTCTGAGACCATTTGAAAACCTCGAGTTTTCCTTCTTAAAATATACATCTGATTCTTGGGCATTAATCTTTTCCCTCTAGATTGTAGGGCTCTAGGTAGCCTATTGAGAGAAATTGAGGCAGGTGACTCTAAGCCTTCTGGAGAGCCAGACGCTGCCCTGGCTATCTCCACACTTGCCGCCGCCACCACATATACATACCCGGGCCACCACATATACATAGCTGAGCAGCCCAACAACGTACCCAAACCATGGGTACTCATTCAGGTTTCTCATTACCAAATGACAATTGCCTAATATATACGCTGAACAGTTTTGAATTGTCTACTTATCCCTTAAACTTGTATTTATGGGATTTAGACGTCTGAAGAATACAGATTTTTAAGATGTGCAAATTGTATTACAGTGATCAAACCATGTTGTTAATGCTGAACTTTGCCTGTACTAAAGTTAAATGTTACTGAGCAAAGAAATTGTGGGATTCTGTTAATGGTCATGCTCCTGACAGTTTTATAACTTAATTGTTAAAATGTTAAGGGCAACTAGATTTAGTGTCTGGGTAATTCATTTGAAGGAGGCAAAGGAAAGGAGTATTTATGATTTGTAGGAGGAATCTGAGCAGCCAGGCAGGAAGTGAGATTTCACTGGACACTTGAAAGTGGTGAGGCTAGTTGTCGGGGGTGGGGTGAGGCAGGAGAGACTGGCTATGGGCCGGAACCCAAAGGCACTTTCAAAGAAAGACACAAGACCAGCCTTGTTTAGTCAACTACAGAACTCAACCTTCAGGCTCAGTGAATCAGTGACCATAGCAACAGTCCCGCCCCCAATCGCGCTGCGCATGCGCAACGCAGAGCGACCGGCTGGCGCCTCCACAATAGATGCTTTTTCCCTCTCTCAGTCAAAGAACTACAGCTCCCAAGAGGCCCCTCGGCACCGCCCTCTGATGTGGCCCTGCCCCGTCTCCGTAGGCCCCGCCCTCCCGCTAGTCTCCTCCCCTCCCTCCCAGTGTGTGTCAGTGACCCAAAGGCGGTTCGAGGCGGAGGGACGGTCGGGGGCGCCGCCGCCGCCTCCTCGCCAGCGCCAGCAGCAGGGGCAGGAGCTGTACGGGCAGGAGCACCAGCAGCGGCGGCAGCGGCAGCAGGAGCAGGAGCACCGGCAGCGGCCGTGCGGCGCCACCGGATCTGCCTGCCGCCGGGGGAGGCTCACCACAAAGCGGGCCCGCGCCTGTCTCCGCTCCGCGCTCCTCGGCGCTCGGCTCCGCGCTCCGCTCGGCCTCGCGGGGCTCGGCGGCGGGCTCCGCGGGTGTCCGTCCGCGCCTCGGGCCCTCGCGGCGGGCCGAGCTGGCGATCCGGCCCCCAGCAGTCGTGCGGCGGTGAGTGCGGCGCCGGGAAGGGGACGCGGGGGCCGGCGGCGGCGCGGAACTTCCCCCGCGGCCGCGCGCGCGCCTGCCCGCCCGCGGGGAGGCGGCGGGGAGCGGAGTTTGCGGCGCCGCATCCCGCGCTGTGGGAGGAAGCTTCTTTGTGAGGAGCTGCCCGGAACGCCCTCCCCCCACGGCTGCAGCGGGCGGGCGCGCGGCGGCGGCGGAGGAGGCGGCGGCGAGCCCCGGCCCGGCCCGGCCCGCTGCCCGGCTCTCGGGCCCGCGGCCGGGCTGCAGACCGCCCGAGGGGAAGGGGGAACAAAGGGTTCGGTGGGCTTCCCTTTTGTTTGTGAGACTCCGGTAAGTTCGCTGCCTCCTTACGTAACGCAGACTTCCAAGTTTAGTCCCTCTTTTTTTATTGTGACGATTACTGTCGTCGTCTCTGCGTGCCTCTCACATTTCCTTTCATCTTCGGCTCTCAAGAGCATTTTGAAAACACTCATTAATTTAATTTCACCTCCCGGGCCCTCGCCCAGCCCGTTCCCCTAAGTGGGTAAACTGAGGTCCAGAGAGCCCTCAAATTGATGGATACGGCTTGATGTACCGCCCCTGGTGTCCGAGGCCCGGAAAGCGTTTATGAGTAATAACTCATTCTCCAAAATGCCCTGTGGAAAAGTCAAGGATGCTCATTTTACTTACAGGTTAAATGGAGTCTGAGAGAAGCCTGGGTAATTGTTAGGTAGTTGAGACAATCATTCTTTTAAAATACGGTTTGAGCTTAAAACCTCAGAGGACTCTCCGGAAAGTGTTCCGAGTGGTGAAGACAGTGTACACCAACTCACTTCGCCATCTACTATGTTTCTATGCGCAAGTCTCTTAACGAAGTCAGACAGCAACGGTGAGGGGAAGGGATAGTTTCTACTTAACCTACATTTAAGATGTTTAGTCACTACACAACGATTTGCTCCTGTGGTTCGAGCCCCGGCACTTCCCATCCCCGGCACCTCATCCACGGGACGCTCGACGGGACTGAGACTGGGGGCTTTTGGGTCACTTGGTTGTCTACTCTGGTGCAGAGGCCCTGTACTTTCTCTTGCTCAGTGGGATGTGACTTTGTCTTGGAAACAGGTGATCTTTTGTGTTAGACAGGACATTGTCTTTTCTCCACATGGACTGAAGTTTGCCAAGTAGTGTGAATTTATCAAGTTTTTGAATTATGGAAGGGGTGCAGTTCCTCAATTTCGGTTTCGGTTTATGATACGTTTCTGCAGGTAACCGAAAATACTTTCTCAGAGTACTCAGATACGCGTGCTCGACACCTGGTTGTCTGAATACAGCATATCAGTTTTTTTTTCTTTGCTTGTTTTCTTTTCACACCTGTAATAAATAACGCAGAGGGTAGTTAATCCCGGTACTTTTTAAATTTTTCGGTACTAAATGGAAGGTGTGAAAAGTTTAAATCAAGTGTTATTTCTACAAGTTCTTTTCCTAGGTTGTATGAGATTCAGAACTGTAATAGCAATATTTTCACTTAAATAATTTTGTAATGTATGGCTGCCCCGGGTTTTACATCTGGTGGGTGTGCCAGAAAATGAAAGTGAGACTTTATTTTCTTCTCTGTTCTCCAACCTATCCCTTTTCTGAAGTTTGTTGACAGATTATACGTTTAACAATTTGAAAATGGGATGGTTAAGTGTATGGAGGATTGCATGTTCTGTGCCTCATCTAATAAATTTTAAAGAGGAAACTTAGCACCTAGGTTTTTAGTGTAATAGAAGTGTAGTTCTGTTTCTTGGCTTGAAAACTAAACTGGAAATCTGCCTCAGTTGCGTATTTGGGGTTATTTATGTGCTCCTTAAAATTGGCATTTAAGGAACCTTATGCTGGACTTCTTCCGTACTTACCAACCAGATTTACCAGGGCCATTTGTACTTTTAAGGAAACTATTAACAGTGCCTTTGCTCCGATCGATGCCAGGAGTCCGGAGGAGGAAGTAAGTGAATTTCAGCTTTGCAGGTTTCCTGAGCTCTTTGGGACCTTTTAAAACAAATGGCCGAGAAATTGGGCAGGAAAGGGTGCTGCTGAGGCAAGTTTCAGGGGGAAGCCTCGGAATGTTTCCATTTACCTTAGTCCGGCTGCCTTTTCCCTTCAGAATGTCGGTTGGATTTCGAGTCCCTTGATTTAGAATGCGCTCCATCGTGGTTGCACAGTGCATGGGTGGAAGGGCCGTGGAGCTCTGCTTTGTGAACAGCTTTCAGATGAAGCTTCTTTCTGTAGGTGGGAGATGTTTTAAGCCAAGACTTGGAATTGGAAACTGGCCAGCATGTGTGTACATCTCCCTGTGGAACAATAATGTAGGCCTATCACTTCAGTCAGACTTACAGAGATCTCACACACACAGTGTTAAAATGTAATGGACAATATATGATGGCTTTTGAGGTGGTTTGGGGATTTATTTTAGAAAAAAATGTTTTATTGCAGTTATTAATTTCAACTGAGAAATATAAAGCATATTAAAAAACCCATTGAAAGAAGGAAAATTAATAGATAAGGAAAACTGACATAAGAAGTACATTATTAAAGATTCCTGGAAACATTTCCCAGGCAGTGAATTAATTACACATAGTACTTTCAGTTTATAGATTTGTAGTCATCTTTCTCAGAATCCCTCTACATATATTACAGAAAAGTAAATAAAAGCTTTCTTTAAAATGATTTGGGTTGTTCTAGAGTTTATTAGACTTTGTGGTAGAGTTTTTACACTTTGTAGTTTTTCTTTGACCTCTGCTAGACAAAGTTTCTCTCAGTCGACACTAATGTGTAGGACCTTAAAACAAGAAATACGGGTCATTCAAAGATCTGGATGTGATTTCAAGTTATCTTTCTGTATTTTAAATAGATCAATGATTGGAAATACTGGCTAACATTATAATTAGTAAATTCTAGGTAATTTTTTCTGGAGAAATGAATTTATGGTAAAGAAAAAGAAAGCATGAAATTTCTTGAGTGAATATCAGGGAATTTACAGGTTTGTTTGTTTGTTTTTAAGAGGTTCTCTCCCTCCCGCCCCCCAGATAAAATTTTGCCTCGTAGTCCACCCTATCCTTGAACTGAAAATCCTTTCTTAGCCTCTCTAGGAATGCTCCATGCCTGGAAGTTTGGAATCTTTTGATGGAAAAAGTAGTTTAGAGAGAAAGAGCTCCATTGGATGATTTACAAGAAATGAATTACGCATGATTCTCAGAACATGTATTTTTTACCCAGAATGTTAAGCATAGGATGTTTTAGATGATGATGACGATTTTGCCACACTAAACTCTACTTTAGACAAACAGGGTTTTGCATTTCACTTATTTGTGTGTGTGTGGAAGGTGCATGTTTGCTGTGTTCCTTCTACAGAAGCTTTTCCATACAGGTAGATGCCAGGGGACAGCTGTGGAAATTGGTTCTCTTCCTTCCACTGTGTGGGTCCAGAGATCAAATTAAGATCATTAGGCCTGGCTGGGCCCCTTGTACCTCTTGTATCTTGTAAAATTCACCTCACAATACCATTTGTAGAAAAATAGAATGTTACTAATGTCTGTAAATGAGAAAATCCTGACGTCTGCCAGTTAATTGTGACCATTTGTGTGGTTAAAAATTAATTCAGTACACATGGAACTTCCTTTTCAAAGCATTTGTTGTTGCTTTTGTTTTATAATGAACCTCTTGGGATGTGGCTAACCGTAAACATCTGTCTTATCCCTCGTTTCCCATGATTTTCTGTCTCCTCATCCTCCTTTTTTTTTTTTTTTTGCTAGTTTGTTCTCCCCTGCCCAACTATCTAGAATAAACAGAGAAATATTTAAATACTCTTAAAGACTCTATTATACTAAATTCCAGGTGAGTTTCAACATACAAAGTATGCTCAACTCTTATTTTGGAAGTAGAAGTATACTTCTGAGGGCATTAAAGCAAGCAATAGCAAATAAATACCATGCTGTCTACAAAACTCTGATTGCTCAATAGTGACTGCTTGATATACCGCTGTGTTTAGAAAACAGTGGTTCTAGGTTCCACTTACTGCTACTAGACTTTGAACGAATGCCAAATAATTTATTCAGTATATACTGGGTATTTTTGCTGTGTTGGGTTCTGTCTCATTGTTGACATCACACTAAGTGCCCACTGCTGTTTTACATTCTAATCGCAGGACCCAAACAATAAAATGAATGAACACACCAAGAGTCTTGATTAGCAGTTGGTAGTATCAGGGAGACCATGGGTTCAAACGCCAGCACCATCAAAATTAAAAATTTAAATAATTTCACATTTCGAGAGACATGACCATGTTTCTTTCAAACATAAATAAATGGCAGAAAGTAAGAGAGGAAGAAGAAACTGTAAGATTTAAAATTGCCTCATGAGGGATCTCTGTGAAATGTAATAAATGGACGTTAGTTGAATGGTGCTTTGAGCAGGTTAACTGTAAAACGATATCTGGAAAATATGGACAGTTTAGACTCTGGGTATTTAGTGAAGAGGAATTGTCAGTTTGTTTAAGGTGTGATAATATAAATCTTTACTTTGTAGGGATAGATAGTAAAATATAGTTTCTAGAGGCTGTTGAAATGGCATAGTCAGTAAAGTACTTCTTATTGTGTAGGAGAACCTGAGTTTGGTCCTTGCATTCATGTAAAAAGTCTGGTGTGGTGTCAATGCCTATAAACCCTGGGTAGTATAAACAATGGTTCCTGGGGCTTCCTCACCAGCCAGTCTAGCTAAATCAAAGATGTAGTGGGAGAGTACCTAAAAAGATTAGGTGGAACCCAGAAACAAAACCACAGGAAGATGAGGTGGAGTGCCTTTAAGGAAGCCCCTATTGTGTCAACCTCTGGTCTCCTAGCATAGGTGCACACACCTGTGTACAAATGTGCACATACCAGACATAGGGTGTGTGGCATTTTTTGGCTCTAAATTATTTGAAAAGGGGAAAACATTGCTGGTATATAATTTGCTTAGATTGAAAATGGTTG